GGAGTTAAGGTTTTGGTTTGGGTGATTTCTTGGGTAGTGGTTTCTGTCTCAGTTAGGCTCTGATAATGAGTTTCGGTGCTGGTCAGAGTATCAGTTAGGGTCTCGTATTTTGTCGCTGTTTCTGCCGGCAAAGTTTTGGTCAAGGTAGTAGTTTTTTGGTGAGTTATAGTCTCTACTGGCAGAGTAATATTTTGGGTTTCCGCAACGGTCTTAGTTTCGGTGGCAGTTTGGGTTTCCGTGTTAATTAGAGTAGCAGTTTCGATTTCTTTTTCGGTGATTGTCTCAGTTTTAGTAATAGTAGTTGGAGTGGTAATAGTTTCGGTAGAAGTAGCAGTGTGGGGGGGTTGGATTTTTAATTCTTTTAATTTATCAGCAGTTTCGCCATGTTCAATTTGTTCTTTTTCATATTTTTCTTTTCATTCATTAGCAGTATTATCTAATTCAGTGACATTCTTTTTATAATCTGATTCTTTATTTTCTAACTTAATAGTTAATGCTTTAATTTTATCCTCTTTATTAGTAATAGAGTCTAAATACTTATTTCATTCAGCAAGGGTGATATTAGGTCGGTTATCCCGAGCGGTTTCTAACTTGGATAAATTTAATTTAACTTCCGTGGGGTCTAATAAACCTTTATTAATTCAGACTTGGTCGTTTGCTTGGAGAGCATTTTGTAAATCAGTTTCGTTAAATTTATAGATTTTGCGATAATCATCATATTCAGTAGTTAAATTATTGATTTGCTTGACTAAATTATCATATTCTGTCAAGGTAATATTAGGGCGATTATCTCTTTCTCTAACAACTTTATCGCGTTCCAGTTCCAAAGTAGTTAAGTTGGTTTGAGGAACTAATTTATTTAATAATAAGTCGGTTTCATTGTGTGGGTTAATTAATCCTTTATTAATTCATTCTCGTTCTTTGTTTTCGCTTGCCTCCTTTGTCGCTTTTTCAACATCAACTTGATTAATTATCAACTCTCTATTTTCTTTTTCTAACCCAGGAATTCTTTTTAGTTCAACTTCTCAATTATTGGGTAAATTAGTTGGTCTTCGGTTATTTTCTAAACTGGCGATTAATAAATCTTTTTCAGTCAAAGTAGTATTTAATTTATCTCGGGCTAATTCAGTTTTCTCTAACTGGGTCAAAGTAGCATTATGTTTCTGTTCTAACTCTTTATATTTAGCAAGGGTAACACTGGGTCGTTTAGGATTACTTTTCTTATGGATATTTTTGGATTTGCTTCCTTTGTAACTAAGTATTTGTTCTTCGGTTTGTTTAAGAATGGGAGAAGTTTCTAAAACTGTCTCTTGACAAGAACAAGTAGAATTAAAGTTAATTAAATCACTGTTATTTGGTGCTAATTGATTAGTAGAATTAGTTGATTGTAAGTCATGGACTGAACAAGTTGGTTGATTAGCTAAATATCCTAGACTGAAAGCAATTGCCTTGCCCCAATGTTTTTTTAAATAATAAAATGGGTTAGGGATAAGAGGTCGAGGGGGAGTTTCGGTTAAATTTGTTTCCTCGTTTGTTTCTATTAAAGGTTTATTGCTTAACTTGGTTGACCGACTAAGCATTTTGACTCTTCCCCTTTTTGGTTTTCTAATAATTTTTTTATCTCTATTTCGATAAATTTCCATCCTCGCCTCAAAAACCTTTTTCCAAAGTTCGATTTCTTCACTTCAATTGTCTGGAACATCCTCATCTATACCTAAAGATATTAGATCTCTGATCTTGGTTTCATAATTGGTTATTTTTTCATCCCAAACCTCTATCCCTTCTATTTCGGAAGGAGTAAATTCATTCGAAGTATTGGAAGAAGTTTCCGGATCTTCTATTTTTCTATCTCCAAAAGAATTTTGTAGTTCATTAAATAAAGAGTCTGAATTTTCCACTTGACTTTCCGGAACTCCTTCTTTATAAAAAGAAACATATATAATATATTCAACCTTTAAATTATCTAAATCACCGCTATCTAAAACTTGTTCAGAAGTCATTAGTTTAGTATCTCGTAATCAAATGACAAATTCAATATCGGTGGGTTGTAAACCAATATCAATTCAGGTTTTAACTTGGTCATAAGTAAACTTATTACTTTCTCATTGTTGTTGTAATTCGGTGGTAAACTCACGGTGGATATTTTTTCAATCCTTTTCTTCATTATTTTTATTAGAGGATTGTTTTTTAAAAGGAGCGAGTAATTTCTTTTTGCTTTCGGCAAGTTTTCTGGCAGAGTTGTTTTGATCTGCTTCAAAATCAATTTTTAATAAATCTTGCTTTTCAGTAGGTAAATCAGTAAATTCGACTCCTGCTTCTTTTTTAACCTCTTGTTTTAAAATATTAGCAAATTCTACTAAAACCTTTTTGGCTTCTTCCGGTTTGCCACTTCCTCCTTTTATATTTTGGACAAAATGATAAATATCGCCGACCCTTTGAGAACGGATCTTTTCTACTTTTTCTTTAAGATTAATTTCCTTAATTGTTTCAGCATATTTAATCATTTCATCCTCAATAAAAATAGCCTTTTGAACTTTTCTTACACTAACCGGATTTTCTTTTTCAAGACGAGGATAATAATATGAGTTAAATGCCAATTTATCTAAAAATTTAATAATTGCTAATTTTTCTAGTTCGCTGATTGGCTCTTTGCTTTCCTCAATAACCTTCTCTTCTATCTGCTCATCAAACTGCTCTTCTTCTTCAAAACCACTATCGATCTTGCCATGCAAATTGTTTATTTCTGCAAGGTTATTATTTCAGACTTTTTCAGCAATTAGTTGAGTAGCATGATCTTCTTTATCTTTTGCCTTTCGCTCCATGCTTTTTATTCGGTTAGTAACCTCTTCTATTGTTTTGGGGTCAGTGAATTTTCTAAGTCCTCTACCATCATTTATTAATTCTGTTATTTCTCTTTCTATTCTACCCTTAATTTCTAATCTTGCCTTAATTACCTCGATTAATTCATCTTCATAGTCTTGACATTCATCTACATATCAAAATTTAAACATGCTCGATTTGCGTACAATTTCAGGAAGTTTGTTTTTATAATCAGATAGTTTTACTTTTTCTTCTTGGTTG